TGGACTGGATGGCCCTTGTGGTCTCTTCCAACTCTATGATGCTATGAAAAGAAGGAATTAGATAGCCTAGAAAAGAGAAAATTGACAGGTGATATGAAGGCCATCTTCAAATATCCAAGGAAGATTGAGGACAGCACCTGAACCAGTGAGTTCAAATAACAAGAAAGGAGACTGAGTATTAGGAAGAACTTCTGGCAGAAAGATCTATTTGACAGTGAAATGGACTACCTCGAGAGTGGTGGACTCTCCTTCATTGAAGTTTTTTAAACAGAAGTTGATTGGCCATATGTTAGGGATGTTTTAGCTGTGGATTTCCTGGATTGGTAGAGGGTTTGAGCAGATGATGCTTGATGTTTCCCCATTATTACAGTCGCTCCTCCATTCTCATGGATTTGAGGTCTGCAGTTTTGAATATTCTAGATGGGGCAACCTCCGTTAAAATAAAAGGGACGGTCCCATTTAAGCCTATGGGGCTTGAATATTGCAAGTCTCCATTTTCGCAGGGTGTGTGTGTCCAGAACTGATTCCCCTGTGAAAATGGAGGGCTGGCTGTATATGATTCTGTGTAATCATTTGTTTCCTTGTTGTTCATTAATACTTCCTTGCAACTAAATGCACAAAAGTTACTATTCTGTAAATATATTTATTAGTGCTCTGTGTACAAATCACAGTACAGTTGCCCCTCCATTCTCACGAACTTCAAGTCCACAGTTACAGATTCACAGGGGGCAAGTTACATTTAAATCAATGGGGTATGCCCTATTCAAGCCTCTGAGGCTTGAATACTTGATAATCTCCATTTTCACGTGTGTGTGTGTGTGTGTGTGTGTGTGTCTGGAATGGATCCCCTGTGAAAACAGGGCCAACTGTAATTTGTGACTTAGAGCCAGAGTAATGTTGTGATTACAGTGTTGGACTGGGATTTAGGGATATCCAGGTTCTAGATTCCACCCAGATATGAAAATCAGTGGTTTGACCTTTATAATCTCTACCCCATGGTGTTGATAGTGGGGAGGAAGAAAGACATGTATGGCATTTTGGGGTCCCTGGAAGGATAAGACCATGTAAATGTAACAAAAAATAGAATGAATAAATGAAGGAACATTTCTTGTTTCACTGCATAATTCCTTGCAGATAGCCCTATAGGGCCAAGCAGTTTAGCAGAAACTTGAACCTAATCAGGGTGTCCAGGTGAAGGTGTGAATCAGATTGTCCTAAAGTGATTTGAAATGATTGAGAAATCTGGACACCAAGCCACAGTAGCATGCCTACAAAATGTTGCAAAACAACACCATGTAATGAAGATAATTTGTAGAGAAGGGCAGGAGCAAAGCTGGTTTTTGGTCACTGACAAGTAGTACTGTCCAATCGCAGTGTGTAGGGAGAAAGGAGAGGAGAGATTATACCATATATTCATTTATCTTCCGCTCTTCTGTGCTCTTATGCTACTTCTATGAGCAGCAAGGAGTTTTTATGAAGGGGTTTGGAGGCAGTTTTGTGTTTACCAAAGCTTATGAT